CAAGTTTTAGATTGAGTTTAAGGTTTCTTCTTTGAATTACAATCACTGGGACTTCTGCATGGCAGCAGTAGTTCTCTGGGACTGAAGCATAATTTTTGGCAGATTAGATTTCCATTTTTAATTTTATTGCACTTCGTCTTGCCCAACTTCACTTTCACATACAAGGTTCTAGTGAGAATTTAATTATATCTTTAGTTAATCCAATAACAAATTTCCTTGAACATAAATATTTGCTTTTCCCTGTGTTGCAAAGATATGGCAACACAGCCAATAAGCAACAGTGACAGGAAAGTTGTTATCAGAATTTCAGTTGCAATTTCCAGCCCTTTGTTGAGTACCAGAATAAAATTTGGATGATGTTGTTCCAATTTTAAATTTACATCTCTTATGAGATCTTAATTTTGGTTCAAGAGACTTCATGCTTTATCTACTCTGCTGCTATTATGTCAGCAATTTGTCAATTCATGTGGTTTCGTCTAATTCTTGAGCCCCACCGGATTTCTACGGTCTCCAGTCTAACATGAGTATTCCGACTCATTCTACAAATGTGTCTATATAGGGTGTGTCTAAGCTTTCCCTCAACACTTCTAAAAAAGGAAATTAAGAATTGACTTATTACAGCAGCTCAGACCTCTTTCTGGAGCACTTTTGAATGTTGCGCTGAAAAGACCCTCGCCAACAGGAGACGGGTGACCACAGAGGGATCATCACCACTTTGTAAGGTCCACCCACTTGGCCCAACGACTGAATCCAATGGCGTGGGCAAAGGTATAATGATTGTGGAGGTCTTTTACTTGCGCTTCTGCAAAAATCATCTTAATTTAATACAATTTTGGTTTCTAATTTTATTCTGACTCCGATTGTAAATTACTTCTAATTTTACAATGTTTCCGATATAACGGCTGATCATGAGATTAGTTGTGATTTAATTTAAATCTTTGATTATTCTGGGTATCCCATACTTTCAATTATTCGTTCATTAGGGACCAGGTATCACACAGAGAACTTACACTGGCCGGTCGCAGCCTCACGGACACAAACTCATCAGATCTGATCTTAGAGGATGCAGGGTGAATATCTACTTTTAAGTCGGCCTCGCTCTGCTTGCTCATAACAAAACAGTTTTTGTATATTCACGAAAACTGCAACTTACTAAGGCAGTGATAGTCAGAAATCGAAAAGGTCTCAAATGATGTGCCCCATGCTCCATTAATTGAGGCTTCTGTATGATCTAGTCTGAACACAGATTTGCGGTAATACCAGACTCCACTTGAAATAATGATTTAAGAATAATGCAGATTAAATTAAGAATCACATTTGTTTGCCAGGCAGGATTAAACAATTAAAATTAATTAAAAATACATTGTACACAACTGTTTAGCATAAAATACCGTTCAAAACAGTGTCAAGTGGTTTCACCATTTACAAAGTTTCAATGTGCAGAACTCCCCCACTTGATAAGACAGCCCACTACAAGAATTCCACCGGACTCCACTCCGACTCGCTTCCCCCGTCTGCGCGTCCTGAAGCGTTTGATCAGCGCCACAGCTCCCCCGACAACAATGTCCAGCAAAACATCAGAATGCACTAGTGAATTCTAGTGCACTGTGGCTTGTGCACTCTAGTTAGGAAGGGCGGAGCAAGAGCAACCAACAGTTTGCCACAACACATAGTATTAAAAAAAATAGTTTCAAGAAGTCAGCATACCTGACAATAGAGACACAGCAACTGTGTGGGAAGTTCTGAATACAGATGCTTCCCTGAGTGGTTTGCCAAATCCCTTTAAATACCCCAAACCTAACAAAAGGACTATAAACATTTAGCACCAAAAAATGTATGCAACTTTTTTTGGACCTTTTTCTCGTGCCCAAAAAGTCACACACCTAGTTTTGGGGATGAAAGCAAATGGTTATCAATGATCTTTATTGGGGCTTCTCCCACATCAGAGGAACATATTTTGTTTTCTTTATTCTTCCCTGTTCTTCTGCGAGAGTGAAAACACCTTACCAGTCACACCTGAAGTATTTATATTGAGCACACATAAAACAGCTTGAAACAATAGATTTGTGAAATTTGCATGACTGACCGAGACCTGAGGGAAGGAGAGGGCGTGAGGAGTCAGGAACTCAGCATGGGGGGAAGAGATGAGATTGGGCCAGCTGTTGTCCTGTGCTCTTTCTCGTAGATCCTCCCTTCAGATTAGTGAATTGTATTGTTTTATTACAGGATAGGAATCTTGAATTCAGTTTTGGTAAAAACCCATCCTTACACCTTTTCATCATTTAAGGTGAATACAGATTATTATATTAAAACTTTGCCAGAAACATATACATGTCTCAGTACTATTATCACATACCTCTCATGTTGCAGACATCTCTGGTCTCTACATTTTCACTTTAAATAGGAGCTCAATACAGCACTGAATTCCATACAAGAGAAATGTAAACAGAGAAATGAAAGAGTTCCTCAATGAAAACTTCTCAACTCCTCAATGAAAGGGGATCACATCAGGTTGAGGACTGATTCTTCTGACAGCTGAACTGCTTTGCCATCATTACACGCTCCTTTATATTGAGTAGAAATGTTAAATGGGTGCATTTATTTAGATAGTATACAATGATTATGTAAATTCTTGGCAAAAGACACATTCTTGAAAGACAAATAATATTCTTTATAATGGTTTTCAATGGGAAAACACAACGTGAAACTTTGCTCATTGGATTCTTATTCTGGGTTCATCTGCTTGTCTATAAATAGTATACATCATCAATGAACTATATATTGAATTTGTTCTTTTATCACTACTGTCTTATTATATTAGTACAAACTGCCCACTGATCCGGATGTGTGTTCATGGTGTGTATTCACTGCTCACTGCTCTGTGTGCACTTGAGTGGGATAAATGCAGAGCACAAATTCTGAGTATGGGACACCATACTTGGCCTTACGTCACTTTCACTTGACTTGTACAAACATGGTAAAATAGCTTGATTTCAAATGAGGGGGAACAACCATTTGGCAGGAGTTTGCAATTTCACCATGGTGGAAAGAAGGTCCATCCCAGCTAACAAATGTTTGGTTAAATTTTTTTTTTTCCAAACATTCAACTTCAGTGATGGAAATGTGAAAATATAAATTTGTCTTAATGTTTGTGGAACATTCTTTTTTAAGATTAGTATGATGTTCCTAAAACATTCTTTCAAGTGAATTTTTATTTTATTTCAGTTAATTAAATAATTAATTGAGTGATGATTGGGCATTAGTGAAGACAGCTGATGATAACAAGCAGAATCGCTGAAGGAAAGAACAAGAACAGAGAAAAGAGAAATAACTGAAAACACAAGATATTTAATCTCTCATGATCTCTGCAGAGGAGGATTAAACAACAAAAACAGCATTACAAGCTTCACTTATTACAAACAAGAGATTTAGGTGTTTATGATTTATTAAAAATAATAGCTTGGTTGGATTATGGTGATTAGTGTTTTGGACACTTTTACGTGCTTGTGCTTGATTTATGAAATTTGTCAAAAGAAGCCATGAAAAAATTAGAACAGGTGATTTTGACTCTTTATTGATGATAATAACATGATCAACATAAAGTGGACTGATTTTCTGATTTCATCTAAAGTCTAACCAAGTGTGATGTGTTAATACATTTACATTGTGCACCATGAATTCAGCAATACTGCGTGAGATCCAATAGTGTTGTGGCCATTTGATATTCTGAGGAATGTTGAAAATATGTTGTGCACTAAACATTTTGAACTGCATTATTGTTCAGACGAACAACCACAATCAGCATATGAAACTCAAATAATAACGCATTGCTTTAACAGTGCTTACATTTTAATGCATTTTATTTACAGGGCTTGCCTTTTTAGGGGCTAGAATTCAATAGTTAAAGCTGTGAATATTTCAATTCAAAACATTTCATACACATTTTCATTATCAAAAATTCAATAATCCATATTCACCTTCCAGACTTCACTTCCACAGTATTAAGTCCGTTTAAAACTACAGCCTATAATATTTTACAGCAGTAGAGTACAAATGCATAATCTCTATCAGCTGTTTAATTCGCTCACCAGCAGGTGGTGATGAAGACCAAAGCAACAGGTAGAGCAAGTCATTCATTTACAAATACTGATTTGCAGAAATGAAACAATTGGTAAGTATATGTTATGATTATAAGGAGCAGTATGTACGTGGAAAAGCTGATTAAGACACAAAAGCTGTATTTACTTTTAATTCAATGTATTCACGGTTACTCTTTTCCCATGTGGCTAGTCTACATGTAAGCAGTTTCTACCGCAAAGGAGATTATAATGGTATTCTCTCCGAAGCCGATGTACAGAACAAACATTACATCTAAGGAAGACATGTATTGCTCTTGTTTTTTTTTTCTTTCCTTAACTTTATATCATGGCTTGTGGTGGCATGTGCCTGAGGAGTTGGATCTCTGCAGAATGCAAGAAGTCTTCTGAAATGCATGAAGAAAGCTAAACATCGTATACACAGTGCCTACGTGACAGGAAAAGATCAAATTATTTGTATTATGTTAAATTTATCTTTCAATAATTCAGGTCTGTACTCTGAAGATACAAGCATACATAGAAATGGCTTGATATAACACAAACATATGATTAAATTACATATTTAGGAAAATTGTTAAAGGATAAATGAATGATTTTAAAAAATGATAAAAAAAAATAAAAGGAGTAAAAATGAATACAAATTTGAAAAAACAACAAATGTACTATTGCTCTCTTGAAACTTTGCAATTAAGAATGGAAAAGCATATTTATACTGTCTGAATTGTTCACTATCCTTTCTATAGTGTACTATGTTCTATTCACTATATGGAAAATATTGTAAACAAGTGCCTTATTTAAGAAACAGCTTTGGAGTCTTATAATGTAGGGGGAATTGTATGTTTATATTTTAGATTATTCTTTGAATCAGTGGTATAAAAGGGGGTTTAAGTCTTATATGTTCCATTAGTTTGTAACAATAAATTTTTTCAAACTCTGAATAGCATCTTGTTTTTTGTTCATTCTCCATTCAGGTGGAATCTCACCGTAACCCTTGAATTTTTTATTATAACGATTTTCCAGGTTTTTCTGGAATGTGCACACAAACCACTTCCAGTACGGCAGTCCATGAGGGTCAGGGATGATGTCCCACTTTGCATAATCTCCTCCTGCACTTCTGTAGTCATTGCAAGGAAACCACTTATCTGAAAACCCAAATTGTTTTCCACTTGTCACTAAAGTTGTGCAAAAATCAGTACAGAGATCATCTGTTTGATAGTAAGTCCATCCTTTAATTCCATTCACTCTGTGGAAAGGAACACTGTGATCTCCAGGATGGTTTTCTATGATGCTGGTGCAGAAGGCTCCACAGAATGGACACTGAACCCAACAGCACTGACAGAAATGAGAAAACAGAAGCTCATCTGGTCTAACCTTTAAGTCCAGTTTTTCATTAAAAGTATTTGTGTTGAAATTACTGACAGACATTATCTCAGGAAGTTCATTTCTCATCACATCTTCTAGGAGTTTGAAATCAACATCATCATGTTTGACTCCACTGAGGTCTTTTTCAGAGAAGATCAGCTCATCTGAGAGCTGCTGTGTGAAACTCTTCAACCACAAACCCGCATCTCCCCTCTTCACTTGAACATGTGCTGCTTTCATGATCTTCTGCTGCAGGAGTTCAATGTTCTCCTTCATCTTGGGTAAAACACTGACACTGAACTTATCAGTGATGTACCGACTGACTTCTTCTGTAATGAAATTCTTGAAGTGATCTCTGGGATTATGGATGTAGTTCATGTATTTGTTAAAATCCTCCTCTTCTGCCAGTGTCTCCAGGATGTGCTTCTCCAGATTTGATCGGTTTCCTTTCAGTGATGCACATTCTGTTCTCATTTAATTTGCCAGCTCTCTAGCAGTTTTCTTGTAGAGACTCTGCTCAATTGGCTCTTTAAGTTTCTGACAGATGATCTCACCAAAAATGGCAGCTGATGTTGCTCCATCACAGTACTTCTGGAAAATACTATAGTACTCTTCTCTCTTTTTCTCAACGTATAGGACAGGATCATTGGCTTCTCTAAACCTCCTGTGTTGCTCATTGATCATCTTGTTTGCTCTCTCACAGATGGAAAGAACCAAATCCATGAAGAATTCATTCTTGAACACATATTTAATTCGTCCTTCCTCATGTTCTACAACTCTTGCCTTGATGTAACCTGTGAGTTGTTGAATTAAGCTTTTGTTGTAGCCCACCTTTGAAATGTTAAATGACTTAATCTCTTCGTCTGTCTGCCGAACAACATCTGTGACAAATGATTTTATTTGGGTTTTATCCTCATTAGACAGAGGATCAAAACCAAGCACCTCTTTAGCTGATCTGACAACATTTTTAACAAATGCACTGGATTTTTTTAACTGTACATATTCAGAATAACTCACAGTGACAATAGTGTTGTACTCACTGCTCTCCCTCCAGTGATCTACAGAAACACTTCCATAGACGTCCCTGAGGATCTCTCTCACATCTCTCATTATGTCAATGTCTTTGATTGGAGGGGTGTCTGTGATGATCTTCATCATCCACTGTTCCCAAAAGGAATCAAACTCTTTCTTCAATGTATCTTTATCATTCGTTTTATATTTGAGCTTTAAGGCAAGTTCTTTGCTCTTTTCATAGAGAGTGTCTTCACGATGTGTCCTCTGAGCATCAATCTTTTTCTTCAAGACTCGCTGCTGAAGAACCTCATTTAGTTTCTTCTTTGTGTCCCTCACAATGTTTACCTGAACATCTTTGATTTTGATTTTAAATGATGTTTTCCACTGAATCAGTATATCTTTATCTTTGTCTTTCTCAAAGAATTCTGACATTGATTTTTCGACTTCTTCACTTGTCTTCTTCAGTTCTGTTTGAAGATAAATTTCCTCAACCTCATACATTACTTCATTTTCAATTTTGTTGTGTAGTTTGTTCTCAGTCTCCATCATGGCACTGCGAAGACTCCAGGACCATTTGCTGTATTCGGTCTCCAGTTTCCTGTAGGCTGAAATCTCCAGAGAATTCCTGAAGCTGAAGACGAATCGTTCACTCAGTAAAACCTCCCAAAGATCTTCAATACGGACTGTTAAGTCTTTCAGCATAATTCCATGTGATTTTGCGGCATGAGAAAGAATAGATTCCTTTAGTTCTTGAATGTTCTCACAGTAGTTTGGGTTTGGTGGTGCCATTGGTGGGCTGCCCTCCCAGAGCTGAGCAAAATACTTCACATCATTTTGAACATCAAATCTAATGACATCACTGAAACATTCAGCATCACAGACTTCATCTTTAGCAGCAAGTTTTGTCATCTCATCCAGTGTCTCCTGCAGTCGTCTCCTCCCCTCCATGTTTTTCTCTCCAGCGGTGACGTCTGAAACATTCTGATGCACAAACACACAGCTGGGAGTCAAATTTACCTTCTTCATCCTCATGAAGGCCTGAACAACGATCTGAAGAATGTCTTGCATCTCAGATGGGTTTTCTCCAAAGATGTTTATCAAGGTCAGATTTCCAATTCCAACAACAAATGTAGCCAATTCATTGTCATGATCTCTTGTAGATCTTCCAGACAGTTCTAGAGCACGAAGACCCTCAGTATCAACAACCAGAATATAGTCAATCTTCATCTGTGTTTTCATCTCGTCTGACTCACTGTTCATCTGTGTTTTCATCTCGTCTGAGACTCTGACCAGCTGCATGAAAGCTCCTCTGGTGCATCTGCCAGCACTGACAGCAAATTGCAGTCCAAACATGGCATTCAGCATGGTGGATTTCCCAGAGCTCTGAATCCCTAAAACTGACAGCACAAAGACTCTCTGGTCTTCCAGTTTCTGGATGAGTTCATCTAGAACAGCAGAGATCCACACCAGAGGAACATGAGCAGCATCTCCATCCATCAGCTCCAGTGGAAATCCAGAAATCATCATCTCTGCTGCAAGACTCGAGAGAGAAGAGAAGTGAATCTGCAGGTCTTTCTTGTTCTTCTTCACAGATGAACATGATTCATAGATCTGACCGATCTCCCTCATGATGTGCTCCACACCAAAGGTTGCAGCTTGAAGCTCCTCAGATATCTTCTCAAGTTCAGTTTGTTTAGCTTTATGTTGTTCAGATTTATTACTGCTGTCTTTTAGTTTCAAAACTGCTGACCATGTTTCATCATATTTGTGAAGAAGAGAAGAAAGGTCACTTGATGTATGTTCATCCAACAGGATTCTGAGCCATTTGAGGAAAAACATCTTTTCATGTTCATTATGTAAGTTCATTTCTTTATTAAAGAGCATCATAAACTCACTCATGTCAGATTCATGCTGTTTTTCACGGATTTCATTCATTTTTATTTTTATTTTACTTATTTCCATTTTTATTTCTTCTCCTTGAGGTCGATGTAGTTCTTTGTTCTTCTGACTCCACTGATGCCACAGTTTTCCCTGATGAGGCATAAATGATTCTTTGATTTCTGTCAGATGTTTCTTCTTCAGTGAATTCATAATCTGCTGTGCTGCTGCTCTTCCTCTCCTGCAGTCATCATCATCTTCCTCATCTACTCTGATGTCTGAGTGTTTGGACACATCTTCAAGTCTGAAAGTGGAAGATGATTCTGAGAGACAATCATTTATAGTTTTTATGAGTTCTTTAGATACATCCGACTGATTTCTGTATTTCAGACCGATTTTGAATTTTCTTTTCTTCATCTTCATTACAGTTGATTGATCCTCAGTAAGAAGACAAATGAGTGGCTTTTTGTTTCCAAACAGGTTATTCATCATTGCTGCACTTCTGTCATTCTTGTCCAGTTGTGGCAAAAGAATAACATTGACTGAGGCCATTTCAGTGAGGATCTGCAGCTGTTTCTCATGGTCTCCTGCATCACCGTGTAGATTACAGAACGCAACACAGTCAGTGAATTTATCTGTGTTTTTCCCAGAGGGGCAGAACCAGGCAATCTCCACCACTCCATCCATCAGGACCCTGGTTCTGCTGCTGCCTGGGCAGTTCCTGTGGAAGAACGTGTTGTGTTTCTCATTGATCAGACTGTTCATCAGCTGAGACTTGGATGAAGACACAGAACCAAACCTGAAGAAAAACACCATTGGAGTTTGTGTATTGTAGATCGGCTGGGTTTGACTGATGATCTCGTTATCATTGTTTCTCATCTTCCAGCTCTTGTTGATTTGTCTGAATGTCCAGAGAGGAAACTCAATCTGTTGTGTGAATGGATCAGGAACAAGCAGAGGCAGAGCATACTGACACTGGGACAGTTTAGTCACCATCAGCTGCTTCAAGAAACCATCAGCACAATGAAACACGGCCATCTGAACATCCATCGGGTGAATTCGCTCAGATTGACTTGTTACTGTGTTTGACAAAGTGTTGTGAAGAACATGTTCAAAAAAATCACCCTCATCTTCAGACGAGTCAGCATCTCTTTGTTGATCCTGTTCATTTGTCTCTTTAACACTGATGTATCTTGCTCTGTAGTCCATCATCAGTATTTTTTGTAGGAAAGTCTGAACCAGCTCCTCTTCAACACAAGACTCATGAGACTGTAATGAATGTTCAGTTATCTGAAGAACATCTGCAGCTCTCAGTTTATTGTGGCGCCTGCCTTCAAGACTAAGTTTGTGAAATAGATGATGTATTTTATCTTGATCGGATTTGACTTCTGCTGTACCAACATCCTTGTTTTCTTTCTGTTTAATAGACAAAACAACATGAATGTTATCTGGGGCCATATGTATAAAGCCACACAAAGTAAAAGTTTAGTCTTAAGTGTGTCAAAATTCTAAGAATGACGTAATTTTACTCTTATTCCTAGACTTTAGAATGAGAGTGATTCATAAAGGTTCCTAAGTGTTAAAAGAGGTTTCAGCTCCTAAATTATTTAAGAGAGCTGGAGAGGTCTCCTAACCTAGTTAGGAGTAATACGATGGCAGCAAAGAGGAGATGACAAACACTTTTCAGCAAAAATATATTGGACTTATACGATAATATGGAGTTGATAAAGATACAAACTTAATTGTAAAGATTAAAAAAATATATATTTGGTAACTGATAAAGTAAAAAATTTTATAACCTCTTCCACTAAACAAGTCAATGCTCTAACAGCAGAAATTAAAAGTAGTAATTAAATTTTGTTTGGCTGGAAAATTGGAAAAATGCAGCAAAGCACTGGTGATGACACAGTAGGCAGGTTCTTACAGATTGTGGCAAATGATACCTAATGTATCAATTAATAAGACTAAGTTTGGATACTTGCATGTCTCATCTGTCTGAAAGAAAGGCTTGATACAATCTGAAGGCTCACGTGGATATTTGCTGAAGTTGGTTGATGAAAAGAACGAGTTTGCGTCAGAGGAACTTGATGAATGGAGAAAACAAGGCCGAAGTCTGGCACAAGCTTAGGGTTTCCGGGAGCGTTTTTCTCACATCCTC